GCAGCAAGCAAGCCTTGTGCTCGCTTCAGTGCCTGGCTGCCGGCCGCCATCTTGGCTGACAGTTAATTTGCATATACTCACTGATTAGCCAATGAAAAGGGTAGCGGTCGTACGCTAATTACCATGTTTCTCTTTTATTAGTGTAGGTAGTTTCACTGCTCTTACAATCCTCTCTTCCCACTAACCCCTGGAAACCACTGATCATTTTACTGTCTCCACAGTTTTGACTTTTCAGGAATGTCATATAGTCAGAATCATACAGTATGTAGCCTTTTCAGATTGGCTTCTTTCACTTATATGAGCATTTAACTTTCCTCTCTCTTTTCATGGCTTGGTAGCAGTTTCCTTTTTAGCACTGCATAATATTCCATTGTCTGGATCTACCATAGTTTATTCAGTACTTAAGCACATCTTGATTGCATCTAAGTTTTGGCAGTTCTGAATAAAGCTGCTATAAACATCTGTGCGTAGGCTTTTGTGTGGGGAAATACAGAGGTAAAATAAAAGGAATATGATTGCTGATAAGAATGTGTTTAGTTTTGTTAGAAACTGCCAAACTGTCTGCCAAAATGGTCGTTCCATTTTGCCATCCCATCAGCAATGAGTGAGAGTGCCCGTTGTTCCCCATCCTCACCAGCCTTTGGTGTTGTCCATGTTTTGGATTTTTGACATTCTAATAGCTGTGAAGTGGTATTTCAGTGTTGTATTAATTGTCCATTCCCTTCTGACATATGATGTTTAACATCTTTTCATTTGCTTATTTGCCATCTGTGTAGCTTCTTTGGTAAGGTGTCTGTTCATATATTTTAACCATTTTTTAATTGGGTTGTTTGTTTTCTTATTGTTGAACGTTAGGAACTCTATATTTTGGATAACAGTCATATGTAGCATTTATGCATTAGGCTTAATTTCTGTTCCAAGTTTCCCCAACTTTGAGGAGTATCAATAATGCACCTTTTGTCCTTGCAGGAGCATTAGAACCTTAGCTCCTAGGTTCTAGGGCAGTGATGGCGAACCTATGACACATGTGTCAGAGGTGACACGCGAACTCATTTTTTTGGTTGATTTTTCTTTGTTAAATGGCATTTAAATATATAAAATAAATATCAAAAATATAAGTCTTTGTTTTACTATGATTGCAAATATCAAAAAATTTCTATATATGACACGGCACCAGAGTTAAGTTAGGGTTTTTCAAAATGCTGACATGCCGAGCTCAAAAGGTTCGCCATCACTGTTCTAGGGTCTAAAATCCCATGGGGGCACTTAGAATGCGCTCACCCTGGCTTCGATTTCTCCCCTCCTCATTCTTTTAGCTGCCCCTAAATCAAGATACAAGGTCTCACTACCCCTTAAAGGGATGTGTGGTTGTAATGGGGCAGGTGAGTCTTGGTGTGGGCAGCTCAGAATAGTGGAACAACACCTTGAGTTTTAAGCTGACAGTAGCTATCACTTACCAGCCAAACAAATATATGATGATGATGATGTGAATTTTCTAAGTAGTTTGGTCATGTGCTCTTTTGCAAATACAGTTATTAGTTAAATACTCTTCTTTTTCAGATGTGCGTTCCAAACAGGAGTACGATGAAAGCCATGTGATTACAGCCCGTCGAGTGAAGAAGGTATCCTGGTAGAGTCAGAATCTGGGGCAGGCTGGCTGTCTTACAGAGGATGGGAAGAGTGGGAAGTTTTATCCCAGATCCAGGAGGTGGCATGTACTGTTGGACACTTTGGGCAGCAGAGGCAGGACCACCCTTGTGCATCCAACATGAGGGTCTCCCACACTCTCACATACTCCCTAGGGTGTCCCTCTTACCACCATGGTCAAAAGCTTCATCAAACAAATATTGATTTAATTCCTTTATGTGCCAGGCACTGTTCTAGACCCTGGCGATAGAACAAAATACAAGATGCCCTTAATTCATTGTCCCTGCCCTCTCAGAGCTTTTGTTCTACTTAGGGAACAGACCAGAAGAGAGTCTGTTCCATATACATTTATCCAATATGGTTTATTCTACTTGGGGAATAAACCATATGTTTACTGTAACTCAAAGATTGAAACAGCTCCCTCCCATTTCCATCAGATCCCTCCCCATCTTCCTTTCTCCATTCCAACTATTTAAAAAGACAAAGCCCTTCTTCAGCAGTCACCATGCCCGACTCAGGGAGTGAGGCCCTTTTCTCTACTTCCACGGAGTATCTTCTTTCTCAAGACATTGTCAAGCCTGGCAGCCTTCACTCAGGATCCACCTCTGATCTCTGCAGTCCTGACCACATTCTCTGCCCTTGACTTCCAGGTTCTTTCTTGCCTCCCTGGTTCCTTCTCTGTCTCTTTGCGGACTGAAGGGTCCCGGGTTCGATTCCGGTCAAGGGCATGTACCTTGGTTGCGGGCACATTCCCAGTAGGGGGTGTGCAGGAGGCAGCTGATCGATGTTTCTCTCTTATAGATGTTTCTAACTCTCTATCCCTCTCCCTTCCTCTCTGCAAAAAATCAATAAAATATATTTTAAAAAAAAGATCTTACCCAAGCTTCCAGCTTCAAGTATGCACATAGTTGAGCTGTCCTGTCAGTTTTACTTCTAAAAGTGTGTCCCACTGCCACTTTGGTAATTCTAACTCTAGCTCTTTCCCAGACATAACTCGACAAGGAGCATGGGCTCTGGCTCATGTATTTTTCCAGGATAAGCTTGCTGCCTAACATGCTTTCCCAAACACAATCCATCTTTATCTTTTTTTTTTTTTGGTGTGTTTTTCTATTTGTTTTTTTGCTCTTGGATTTTCAACTCCCTGGCTCCATTCCTCTAGCTCTAAATCCCCTGCATTTCCTTCTTTGCTTTTTGTAGCCTATTCAGAGCCCCTTCAAGATGCATGGCCTTCGGTTTTCAACTCAACTCTCAAGTCTGCATGTCCCTTTGATTCTGTAGCACCCCCAACTCTGGAAAAGAGCCATTCTCTCTATCTCAGCCCTTCAGAACCCCTTAGGCAGACTGACACCTCTTGCCTCCCTTCACCAATGTTTTTTCCAGTAGATTGCGCCTTTAGGGAACTCCCAGCTTCAGTAGGACACAGAGCCTCTCTACCTGATGCACCTCCCTCTCCAGCCTTATCTCCAGCATGCTTCTCTCACCTAACACCTCAGTAGCATTGCCCTGCTGCATTTCCTTGGTTCTAAGATGCCCAGCCCCCCATATTTTCACATTTCTAAAATTGGAATGTATCCTACAGTTGATCTGCCTGAAAAACACATCTATTATTTTCTGCCTGGCACTCCCCCTCACCCTGCCCTTTTTTGAGGGGGAGCTTCTCTCCCTGCTCAAACCAGGGGGGTCTAGTGGTGCTCAGTACAATAGTATCCAAACCCTGGCCACAAATCAGCCAAGGATAAAAACTGAACAGCTTAGAATTGAAATTAAAGAAGGCAGCTCTTTCTATTTTGGTAATGAAGTTTGGAGGATGGGAGTCTGAGCATCGCTATCGCTAGTGGCCATGACTTGGGCCTCAGGAAAAGTTGTCTGAGAAGGTGAAGTCAGTGTACAGGGGAAGCTGGGGAGTGGAGCCTGAGAGGGAGGTCTGGGCTTTAGAGCCCTGGTTCAGGTTTTACTTGGGACCAGTTGCTCCCTGCCCTACCTGAAGTATTGTTATATGCCAATAAATCCCTCTTTTTATGTATACTCCTGATTGCAACTGTTGTTAAATTGGTGGTGCATCTTACAACCAGTGGTCTCTTAAGACCTAGGAAATAGAGTCCATGCGGATTTCTGAACATACTGCTCTCTCTGAGTCCAGAGTGGGAGTATGCTTTGTTCATTATTGCATCCTGGATGCTCTGTCTGGTTCCCGATATCAGGTCGGTACTCAGTAGCTATTTGTTGACTAAAGGGAATGACTGGAAGCTGTTCCTTCTGCCTCAAACACCCCTCCAGTCCTTGTCCATCTGGCAAATTTCCACTTGCCTTTGCAGCTTCATCTCAAATGCCTCCTGCCCTGTGCGCCTTTCTGAGTCCTCCAGACCAACTCAGGCAATTTCTCTTAAAAAAAATTTTTTTATCGAACCATGAACCAAGAGGTCACTGGTTCAATTCCAGGTCAAAGCACATGCCTGGGTTGTGGTTTTTTTTATCGAACCATGAACCAAGAGGTCACTCGTTCAATTCCAGGTCAAAGCACATGCCTGGGTTGTGGGGTCAATCCCCAGTAGGGGGCATGCAGAAGGTAGCGATCAATGTTTCTCTCTCATCAATGTTTCTGTCTCTCTCCCTCTTCCTTCTTCTCTCTCTAAAAAATCAATAAAAACGTATTTTAAAAAATCTCTGTATTCCAGAACCTACAGTGTAAGTGCAAAGTAGGTCCTGAATGAATGTTTATTGAATAACTGGATGAATGTCCAGCCACACCTCTCCCTGATCTCCCATTTGCTCCACTTTTCCCTTTGCTCATGCTCTTTTCCACACCCAGAACCCCCCTTTCCTCATTATCACCTGAATGAATCCTGCTCATAATCTGAGCACCAACGGTCTGCTAATTCCTGTAGACAAATATGATTTCTCCCCTTCAAGTTACATAGAACTTCCCTGTACCTGTATGGGCTTTATCTCTCTGCCTTGTAGAGTAGATGTGTACTAGTCCTAGCCCACATGCAGGTCCTCTGTCAGGGCCTCTATGTCAACCAGACTAGTCCTAAGGGACAGAGTAAGGCTCAGGTTCCCCTGAGTTAGTGGGGACTTTGGGAAGCATTGAGAACAAATGAGGACTAACCTCCGGGCCGGTGCCCTGCCAGGTCTCTGGGGCTCTGGAATACCCTTTGGGATCCTAGGAAAGTCTGGTTCTGTGAGAGCTCATTCCCTTGTGGGCAGAAGGCACCCGTTGTTCCTGCCCTTGTGTCCACCATGATGGTGACTCAGCCACTTCCTAACTACTCTTCATGACCTCATGGACCTGTTTGCCCATTCCTTCCTTTGACCATATTTATGGCCTAACGTGCCAGGCATTGTTCTAGAAATTCAGGATACATCAGTGTTCCTGCTCTCACAAAGCTTATATTTGAGCTTATGGTTGGCCTCATTTTGTCTGCTTGCTTATGACTTCTGCTTATTCAAATGTTCTTATGAGGGATTTTGGCTTTGGCCCCTATCAACAACCACTTGCCCCCCAGAGATAGGATATGTTAGTTCAGTTGGTGAGTCAGTAGGCAGGCTGTTCTTTGGCCAGGCACTTATTTCTGGTCCAGTCAACTGTGGTCAGCTTTTCATAGCAGGGGATGAAGGTGTGGAAGATCATTGGAATTTAGTAGACTCTCCAGTCAGCTCTCAGTGCTCTGTGCCCATGTGCAGTCAGGCAAACAGGCACAGTCCTACCTCCAGCTCCTCCTGGTGCTGGTGTGCAGGGAATATTTGTTCATCTGAACCCACCTGCCAACAGGCTTCTCTTGTGGTTTCTTTAGAAGGCAGATGAATATCTTATCCCGGAGTCTGTGGATCTAGAGTGTGTGAAGTACTGTGTGGTGTATGATAACAATTCCAGCTGCCTGGACCTAATCCTAAAAGATGACAGTGACAACTCTGGCAGTAGTGAAAACGGTAGGTTTTACACTAGCCATAGTATAAGTTAACAGTTATTCAACACTTCCGACACATGCCAGGAACCATGTCAGGTGCTCTCCCTGGATCAATGCATTCAGTCTGCAGTACATCCCTATGAGGATGGCAATATGAAGAACTGGGAAGAGCTCTGAACCTGCCACCGTTTCAGAGATGCTGGCTGAAGACATGAGGCTCCTGGGTCAGAGACAAAGGACTTTATTACTCAGAGCAATTAAAAATAACCAGAATGTCTTCATTTTCCTGCACTGGTGCCCAAGTCTCAGTTCTCACAGGGTGACATGAAGACAGCCAAGTACACTTATTCATGTAGTGCATTGTATTTTAGAAGAACTCTGAGCTTAGGGGGCCTGAATCTTTTATAATGGGCAGAAGCCTACCCATCCTTGGCTCCAGAGGAAAAAACAGTCTATCTTCTAAAGCTGTTGGTTATATAAATATCCTTGAAAAGCCACTGCCTTGTTTAAAGGACATGTCAAGATGTGAGAGACCATGGAGAATTGTCTCCTAAAAGGTACCATCCCCATTTTATAGATGGGGAAATTAGGGCCCAGAAAGGCACAGTAACTTGCCCAAGATCTCACACCTAGAGAATGATCTATTGCCATATAGCAAACTACCACCAAACTCAGTAGCTGGATATAACAAACAGTAATTATCTCATAGTTTCTGTGGGTCCAGAATTCAGGAGCAGCTTAGCTGGCAGGTTCTGGTACAGTCTATCCTGAGGTTGTAGTCAAGGTGTCAGCCAAGATTGCTGTCATTGGAAGGTCTGACTAGGCCAGGATGATCTCCATCTGAGATTACTCTCTCACATGGCTATAGCCAGGAGGCCTCAGTTTCATTCCGGCTGTTGGTAGGAGACTTTAGTTCCTCACCACATACACCTCTCCATAGGTTGCTTGCATGGCCTCGTGACATGGCAGCTGGTACCCCCTGCCCCGCAGAGTGAGTGATCAGAAAGAGAGAAAGAAAGGGAAAGCCACATGTCTTTTATGACCTAGTCTTGGGGCTTATACACAGTTGCTTCCACCACATTCTATTCATTAGAGGGAAGTCACTGAGTATAGTCTACCCTCAAGGGGAGGGGAATTAGACTCAACCTTTTAAAGGGAGGCATTTGAAAGAATTTGTGGACTTTTTAAAAAAAACACACACACACCTAGTAAGTGGTGGGGCCAGGATTCAAACCTAGGCAGTTTGGCTCTGTCCAGTCTTCTAAGGCCTGAGTAGTGATGTTGGAAAACAATGCAAAGTCACTCAAGCCCTGAGCTGGAGCATTAAAACGTGATTGGTTCTAATGTGCTTTACTGATGTTCCACAGCAATCTCCATTCAGCCACTGCTTTGGGCTGACCGCCCCTGGCCATTGACATGGGGCTCTGCTGTTTGTGGCTCAGTCACTATGTGTAGGTGGGTCTATGAGCTGGGGCATTCACACAAATGGTCACTGGGTGGCACTAGGTTTCCACCTTTAATAAAGCCAGTCTTCCCAGGAGGTCCTTAGCCAGGAAATTATCTTCCCCAAGTTCTCACAGTCTGCAGTACATTCCTATGAAGGTGGGTCTGGTCTGCCAATCCTGGGATTGTAGACTGGACCCTGAAACCCTAGGGAACAATGCTCAATAAAAATAACCCTCTCTGCATTCTATAACTGACCTCACTGTGCTATGCAGCCCCTGTTCTCACTGAGTAGGTAACTACAATCACAAAATAACAGCAAAACAATAAAAACCAAAACCACACATGCATACACCTTGCCCACTCAAGGCAACTTTTCTCCTTTAAAGTGGCATCTTTCAGGTAAATTCAGTCTTTGGGGTAGACGACCATATCAAGGTTTCTCTCACCACCCCTTTCTCCTTTCCACTGTTAAGCACCCACCTCCCTGACCCTCAAGAAATTCTGGGAAAGATTTCCTTGAGGGGGAACCTTCATCACATCCTCGAAGCAGGTATTGGTCTCTATGTAGACCTTTTCTGCTGACCTTTGGAAGAGGTGCAGCCCAGCCTATGGGGCCTTTGGCCATGGGCTGTGCCCAAAATGTTCACGTAAGTCATGAGTGGTTCCCTTCGCCTTGTCAGTGCATGGCGCTGGATCCTGGGGGACTCAGCCTTGTGCCCTCCTATCCAGGCTTTCCCTGACATTCCACACGTGCTCATCCCTGGCCTGCTGCAGCTTTAGGTTAACCACTCCACACCTCTGCTGCGGGAGTCTCAGAATCCTAGTGGGAAATGGGGCACAGCTGGTTTTAGCTCTCTACCCGCCTCAGCTGGGTGTCTTCTTAGGAATCCAGGAAGTATCTTCCCTTGTCTTAGTCTCTAGGATGCTCTCTCTAAGCTCTTTTTAGCATGCAAAGGGCAGCCCCCTTCTTGTATGAGCAACATTTCCCTTATGTTAAATCATCCTTGCAAACATGGATTAGAGACACCCACAATGGGCTCATGATATGTGTGGGTAGAGCTCCCTGGACCAGGACATTTACACCAACTGTGAAGAGAAGCTTTGGGAATTTTTGGATTCCTTTCCTCCTCCCTCAGCACAGTCTGACTTTCAAGACAATTGTTTGGCTAGGGACCTCAAATAATTTAACTTAAAGGTCAGGCTGCGTGATGACTCCCTTGTACCAGGTGGTTGCCCTCCTCCCCTTGAAGCAGTGGGTGACCCAGTTCAAGGTGTGAGAAACCTCATGTCAATGGAGAACTCAAGATTAATGGGAATAGAAATGAACAAATTAAAAAAAACATTTTTTGTTGTTGTTGTTGTTAATCCTTACTGGAGGATATTTTTTCCATTGATTTTTTTTTTTTAAGAGAATGGAGGGAGTGGGAGAGACAGAGAGAAAGAAACATTAATGTGAGAGAGACACATCAATTGGTTGCCTTGGGCACATGCCCCGACCTACCAGGCTGGAGACCAAGCCTGCAACTGAGGTATGTCCCTTGGCCTGAATCAAACCTGCAACTCTTCAGTCCACAGGCTGATGCTCCAACCACTGACCTAAACCAGCTAGAGCGAAATGAACAACTTTAATGTTTCAAAAACATTAATCCCATTACATCCTTGCTGGATAACCTGGGCCCTGGCTTTCCTTCTGAGTCTCTATCTCCTGGAAATTGGCCTTCCTCCATCTCTGACCCCATCATCCCTGTATGTGAATACTCCAGCTGGTTGTGTGACATTGGCAGGGGAGCAGCTGTCTAGTTTAAAGGCAGTAGTGGCCTGGAACTCTCTCCCTAACTCGCCTGGACCCTCTGACCTACCCCATCAGTCTCTTACTCAAGAGGGAGATGGGGCTGTGAGACCCTGGGAGATCCAGGGCTCTCTGGCATCCAAGTCAGGCTCTCAGGGGTGGGCTTTGGCTCCTGTTCTGCCAGCTACAGGTTTCCTCCTGGCCTTGCTATTGTCTGCAGGCTCTTTCCCCAAATACAGTTTCTCCAGATGGGTCTCAAGCGGCTTTCATCCTCAGCAGCCCCTGCTGGAATTGGCCTTCTTTCCCTGGACAAAGGTTCATTATAGCTGTCAGAGCCCATGCCCATCCCTTTCTCCTTTAGCTAACTTTCCAGAGTCTGCTGCACAGTATTTCTCTTTAGTGGTCAGATCCTGGCCTTGGAATATTTTGGCTTAGTCTTAATTATACAAACTTCCTACCACATATATCTAATTTGCATATAGTCTAATAGTGAATCTATAGATCAATGAAAGCATTTTAGATTAAATTGATGTCAAAACCACAATGAGGCCCTGGCCGGTTTGGCTCAGTGGATAGAGTATCGGCCTGTGGACTGAAAGGTACTGGGTTTGATTCCAGGCAAGGCACATGCCCAGGTTGCGGGCTCAATCCCCAGTGTGGGGCTTGCAGGAGGCAGCCGATCAATAATTCTCTCTCATCATTGATGTTTCTATCTCTCTCTCCCTCTCCTTTCCTCTCTGAAATAAATAAAAATATATTTTAAAAAAAACAAAAATCACAATGAGATAACATTTCACACCCACTAGGTTGGCTATAATAAAAAAGACAATTGTTGACGAGGATGTAGAAAAATTTCAACACTCATACACTGCTGGTTGGAATGTAAAATGGTGCAGTCGCTGTGGAAAGTGGCACTTTCCTCAAAGTTAGATGTAGGGTTATTACATGGTTCAGCAATTTTACTCCTAGGAATGTACCCAAGAGAAATAAAAACATGTGCACACAAAAACTTGCTCATGAATGTTCACAGCAGCATTATTTCTAATTGCCAAAAAGTGGAAACAACCTAAACATCCACCAATATTTATGAATGGATTATGAATATTATATTGTGTGGTAGAGCCACACAATATAATATTATTCAACTGTAAAAAGGAATGAAGTGCTGACATGTGCTACAACATAGATGAACTTTGAAAACATTATGCCAAGTGAAATAAGTCAGACATAATGTATGATTCCATTTATATGAAATGTCCAGAATAGGTAAAACCATAGAGAAGTTAGATTAGCAGTTGCCTAGAGCTGAGTCTTTGGAGGGAAATGAGGAGTGAACCCCTCTCACTGGTACAGGGTTTCTTGGGTGATGAAAATATTCTAAAATTGTGGTGATGATTATACAACTCTGTGACTAAACTAAAAACCATTGAATTGTGCACTAGCTGTACCCTGTACAATAGGTGACTTGTATGGTACACATAATGTGGCATACAATATATGATACTATATATATTTACAGAAAAAGATTAACTTTCTTGATGGTAAGTTGATTTTACATTTTAATTGTAACACCCATATCTATATTTGCTTCAGCCTCCTAGATAATTGCTTTTCAGAATAAAGTGGCCATTCGTTGAAGCTTTAGACAAATGGGGAACACAGGACACATTCATTTCTTTGGTCTCCACTCTTAGAACTGTTGGCCAGAGGAGCTGCCATTGAATGTGGCAAAGCCTTAGCTCACCTCACCCGCCACCCCGTCCAGATCCTGAGAGGGGGCTATGAGTCTTTCTCAGCCAAGTACCACTTTTTCCGGACGCAGAAGATTATCTGGATGCCGCAGGTAAGGCAGGGTGCTGAACACAGGCAGGCTCAGATGGGAGCGTGGCCTTCCCTTGAAAACCATGGGTTGGGGAACAGGGTAGGAGAAAGAGGAGACAGACAACATGGAAAAGATGGAAGAAATATTGAAGGCTGGGCTTGGGAAATGAACTTGGGGTAGCCAGGAGGTCCAGTCCAAGATTATGAATTTATAATGATCATATTTGGGGAAAAGCCAACATGGAGTTTAAAAGATGAGGCCTATTCAGAAGGCAGGGGAATTCTGGATTGTGGGTTATAGTCGAAGTCAGAAAGGCAGGGATGATTCAAGCTGCCTCAACTTTCTTAACTTTTGGGTCCAGAGGATACAAAAAGGTGAGAAAGCAGTCCTTGCCTTTGAGAAGTTCTTATCTAGTAGGGGAGTCAAGGGGTGTGGCCAAGAGGCACACGAGGTGTATGGAGCCCAGAGGAGAGGCACTACCTTCTGGAGCCAAATCTAAAGGAGGAGGAGCTTGTGAGGAAGAGGGGTGAGGGCATATAAAGCAAGCATTGGATAGCCATGATTGGCAGGCAGGAATCCATCCCTAGGCGGCATTGTGCAGTACCTGGTTTATTGAGGAATCTGACTGCAGTGGAATGCAAACATCTAAGGGTTTCATTCTTTTCAGTAATTGCCTTTAGCTGTGCTCTCATTTTTGCCCTTAGTACCATCTTGTGGAGATTCCATACTTTCTGGCCACTTTCGATTATGAAAAATTTCAATTTAGTCATAAAATGATTTGAGAAATGTGCATATTAACTGGGCATTTGATAATAGTAAGGAATTATTATACAGGGTAGGACAAAAGTAGGTTTATAGTTTGTATGGAAAATAATAATTAATAAATAATAATACAAGAATAAACTCTTGTTTTGTATACTCACAACTGTAAACTTTTGCCCCACCCTGTGTTTCTTTCTTTTTAAAAAATATATTTTATTGATTTTTTACAGAGAGGAAGAGAGAGGGTTAGAGAGTTAGAAACATCGATGAGAGAGAAACATCGATCAGCTGCCTCCTGCACACTCCCCGTGGGGGATGTGCCCGCAAGCAAGGTACATGCCCTTGACCGGAATCAAACCTGGGACCCTTGAGTCCGCAGGCCGACGCTCTATCCGCTGAGCCAAACCTGTTAGGGCCACCCTGTGTTTCTTTAGGATGTGATGACATTATTATGGTTATATTTTTTAAAATATGAGTTGGGCCCTAGCCAGTTTGGCTTAGTGGATAGAGCATCGGCTTGCGGACTGAAAGGTCCCAGGTTCGATTCCGGTCAAGTACATATACCTTGGTTGCAGGCACATCCCCTGCAGGAGGTGTGCAGGAGGCAGGTAATCGATGTTTCTCTCTCATCGATGTTTCTAACTCTCTATCCCTCTCCCTTCCTCTCTGTAAAAAATCAATAAAAATATATTTTAAAAAATGTTTAAAATATGAGTTGGTATCTTTTAGAGAGACATAATGAAATATTTATGGGTAAAATAATATGATGTCTGAGATCTCCTTCAAAATAATCTGGGATTGGTTGGAAGTCAGTATAGATGAAACAAAATTGGCCATTAGTTGATAATGTTTGCAGAGGGGTGATAGATCTAGGGGCTTATTACACCGTTCTTTCTACTTTTGTGTATTTTTGAAATAATTTTTAAAAGGGAATAAGGACAGTCAGTCTAGTACAAGCTAGACTGGTTTAACATTCCAATCTCAAACCAAATCTCATCTCTTCTCATTCCCAGAATTGGGCAGCCTTGGGTTTGCTGGGGGCTGAGAGTGGGGAAGGGTGTGGGTTAGCTTCAAGGACATCTCCTCTCTTCCAACCTTTGGGGCCTGTCCCCTTTGGCTGCTGTGGGTGGAGGGGAGGTGCCTTCTTCTCACTCTGACTTCACCTGGTTCTGTGTGTTGTTGGTGGCCTTTGTTGCCGGTTTCCTTGGAGCTTTGTTGGGGAGAAGGGCTGTTAATTATTGAAGATTCCTCAGAGAGAGAGCCAGCTGAGATTTTAAGCCAGGAATACCCTTAATTCCCAACCTTTTCCTTCCTTTGGTAGCCCATGACCGCCCATCCATCCATACTCCTTCACCTGAATTCCCGAATGAGCCACAAGGGACTGTGATCACTGTAGCCTCTCCTTGCCTTGCTGACTTGGCAGTTCCAACCAGCCTGTGCAAACGGTGAGGACCCATGTCTGAGGTCATACCTGTTCCCATATCTAGCTCTCCAAGGGACTATCTTCTGTACTTTCATGGAAGTAACCACACTATGATTTTTAGCTCAACAGGTGTATAGCCAATCTCCCCATCCTACAGACACTCCTTACTCCTAGAGGAGCACCGCCTACTGGCTTTGCAGTGTTCAGAGGCAGTATTTCTCTACAAACATGACACTGCTGATAACTCATTGCCCCTCCCCTTTTAAAGTTTTATTAAGCTATAATTGACATAGGAATAACTGCACATGTTTAAAATGTACAATGTGGTGAGTTTTGACATGTATGTACATCTGTGACTTGCCTTATATATATAGATTGGGAAGAGGGGTGGGGTGGTGGCTGATGGTAGCTATCAGGGCCTGGTGCGGAGTTCTACCCTAATTGTTTGTGGTCTTCTCTAGAATGTAGGTGCCTACTGCTTGTCTCTTCCTGCTCAGTTACTAATTCAGGAGCAAGAGTGAAAGCCCCCCCCCCACACTTCCTGCTATTGTTCTGCTACACTGTAAAGCAGGGGTGTCCTTGCTCCCAAGGAACTCCTTCTATGAATGGAGATGGAGAAACCAAATTTAGGCTCTGAGACTGCCCCTCTACCTTAGACAGAGTGACCTATAATTTCCTGTTTTACATGTGGCAACCCTTAAATAAGATTTCACCTTGAGTAAAGGAGTTCTGTGACTAAAAGGAGTGTGTAGGCCATGCTAGAGAGAGATGATGGTAAGCTACTGAATATTTTTACATTGAGGGGTGGCATGGTCAGACTGCACTTAGATCAACTCTGCAGTGCAGAGAGCAGATCAGTGGGGACAGAATGGATTTGGAGAGACCTGCTAGGAGGTAGGGATGGAGAGGAGAGAATGGATTCAAGAAATACTTAGAAAGTGGCATTGTTTAATATGGAGTCGGGGGGCCCGGCTGGCATGGCTCAGTGGTTGAGGGTGGACTTATGAACCAGGAGGTCACAGTTTTATTCCCGGGTTGCGGGCTCGATCCCAGTGGGGGCCATGCAGGGGGCAGCCGATCTATGATTATCTCTCATCATTGATGTTTCTATCTCTCCCTCCCTTTCCCTTCCTCTCTGAAATCAATAAGTATATATTTTTAAAAATATGGAGGGAGGCAATGGGAGAGGAGGAGGAGATTAGTATAATGCCTGGTTTAGGTGTGGGTGACGGTGGATGTGGTGTGCTCATTGAGGTGGTGGACACAGGAGAAGGAGGCAGTGTGGGAGGAAAGCAGTGGGCTCAGTTTGGACATGTTAATTTGATACCTGTTTATTTTATTTTTTAAAATATACTTTATTTTTAGAGAATGAGGAAGGGAGAGGTAGAGAGAGGGAGAGACATGTATTGGCTGCCTCCTGCCCGTCCCCTACTGGGGATTGAGCCCACAACCTGGGCATGTGCCCTGACCGGGAATCAACCAGTAACCTCTCCATGCATGGGACGATGCTCAACCAAGTGAGCCACACCAGCCAGGGTAGATATCTGTTTGTTTTGCATTTGTTGATGTGGCTATCAAAATTAAGTCATTTAGAATTAACATGTGCTTGCTCTTTACAGCACAGCATGTTTTTATCCATGTCACACCCTCTTCCCCTGCAGCCTGCACAGGCACAGGAAAGGAAGGAAACTGGTTTGAAAGCAGCAGAAAGAGAGTTGATAGATTTGTGATGGGTGTTTAGTGAGGTTTTCTAAATGGAACTAGGATTTCATTTGGCTCCAGCAAGCTGAACATCCTGAGTGAGTGAGTGAAGTCAGCCTGAGCCCTGGGGATGCTTTGGGTCAACATCTACAAATAGCGGGTCTCCCTGCAGGTAAAAAAGTCATGAATATCTTTTGCAAACTTGAGGATTTGCTCTGTTCTTTGATAGAGTTTTTTGAGGATGACAGCTTGGGAAGGATGTGGGCTCACAGTGGGTTCACTGGGAGGGGAGATGTGCTGATTCCAGAAGGCTTTGACATGGACAGTGAAGTAGTCTTAGGTACTAAAGATGCTATTTTTGAGTTAGACTCAGAGCAGAGGAGTTTTTAGAACTGAGTTTGACCTTTGAAGTTACATAGGTCAGCATTTTCCATGAATACTGATGGAAAAATTATGACCTAACAGATATTAGAAACGTCAGTTTATACAATGTTAGTGGAATTCTTTCTTCTTTTTTTTGAGGTTTTGCCTAGGTTTTATTTTACTAAATATCACAAGTACATTTTCAATTCATGCCAGCAATAACTATGTAACCACTGTTTTATTACAAACATCTAAGCTACAAAAGCTCAGTCCAAGGAACCATTAGGAAAATTTTCACCAGCCCTCTGTTCCCTGGAGGCACACTTTGAGAACAGGCACACTTTGAAAAGCATGTGTTAGAGACTGATATGCGTTTCTGGCTGTTTTCCAACTTGTTTATAAAATTAGTTTTATTATTTAATGATGATTTTTTTTCTAACCACGTGATTGGCACTCTAATAATCTTTCCTTGTAACTATCATATTTTTAATCCCCCAAGCTTTATTCATGTGTAATCCATACTAATAAAAGGGTAATATACAAATTGGTTGGGACGCCTTCATGGAACGCCCAAACAGCAGGCTGCATGGGGCGACCAGGCCCGCAGGGGCGGGGGGGTGGCAGTGAGGGGCGACCAGCCCAGTAGAGGCGGGCAGTGAGGGGCAACCAGGCCAGTGGTGGAGGCAGTGAGGGGCAACCAGGCCGGCACAGGGGAAGGGGGCAGTTGGAGGTGACCAGGCCGGCTGGGGGGGCCAGTCAGGGGCGACCAGGCCGGCAGGGGGGCAGTGAGGGGCAACCAGGCTGGCAGGCAGAGGCCGTTAGGGATGATCAGGCAGGCAGGCAGGTGAGTGGTTAGGAGCCAGCAGTCCTGGATTGTGAGAGGGATGTCCAACTGTCAGTTTAGGCCCAATCCCAAGGATGTCTTAGACTGATAAGGCTGGCAGGAGGCCGTTAGGGATGATCAGGCAGGCAGGCAGGTGAGTGGTTAGGAGCCAGCAGTCCTGGATTGTGAGAGGGATGTCCAACTGTCAGTTTAGGCCCAATCCCAAGGATGTCTTAGACTGATATCCCCCAGGGATCGGGCCTAAACTGGCAGTTGGACATCCTCCGAGGGGTCCCGGATTGGAGAGGGTGCAGGCTGGGCTGAGGGGACCCCCCACACACACAAATTTCGTGCACCGGGCCTCTAGTAGATATATAACATTGTATAAGTTTAAGGTATACAACATGATGATTTATATATGTATATACTATGAAATTATTACCATGATAAGGTTAACACATCCATCACCTAACAAAATTACCTGTTTTGTGTGTGCAGTGAAAACATTTAAAATATACTCTCTTAGCAATTTTAAAGTATGTAATGCAGTATATTAGAACTTCAGGACTTATTTGCCTTATATCTGGAAGTATGTACCCTTTCATCAACATCTCCCTATTCTACTCTGCCTCAGCCCCTGGCAACCACACCTCTACTCTCTGTTTCTATGAGTTTTGCAAATGTCCACATATAAGTGAGATGATTTGTCTTTTTCTATCAGACATTTCACTTAGCATAATGCTCTCAAGGCCCATCTATGTTATTGCAAATTAATAGGAATTCCTTCTTTTTTATGACTGGGTAATATTCAATTGTATATATGTGCCACATTTTCCTTATCCACTTACCCACTGATGGACACTTAAGTTGTTTCCATGTTGTAAAATATGGCTATTATAAATAAGTAGAGGCCCGGTGCATGAATTCGTGCACCAGTGGTGTCCTTTGGCCTGGTCTGTGGGATCGGGCCGACACTGACTCTCTGACATCCCCCAGAGGGTCCCGGATTGCGAGAGGGTGCAGGCCAGGCCGAGGGACCCCACCGGTGCACAATCAGAGCTGGGGAGGGATGCGAGAGGTTGGCCAGCCAGGGAGGGATCATGGGAGGGTTCCAGGGCATGTCTGGCCAGTCTCACTCAGTCCCAAATGGCCGGACCCCAGCAGCAAGCTATCCTACTGGTTGGAGCATCTGCCCCCTGGTGGTCAGTGCATACCACAGTGAGTGGTTGAGCAGCTTTAACATATCATTAGCATATTATGCTTTGATTGGTTGAATGGATGACCAGACACTTAGCATACTAGGTTTTTATTATATAGACTAGAGGCCCGGTGCACAAAAATTTGTGCACTCGGGGGGGGGGGGGCCCCCCG